CACTTAATGAACCAACCATAGATTATGGCTTTCAGAGGTTGCAGAAAGTTATTCCACGACATCCAGGTGATCCCGAAAGGTTACCAAAGGTTAGTAAAGAGTCAAAAAACATTAGTTTTTTCTAATTTAATAGATGTTGCTAAGTGATGCCATATACTGCTTATCACTTGTAAAACAATGCCATGTAAGAACTCCGGCTAATGTACCAACTTCTTAGGTAGCTACAAAATCAAGCAACCTTCATTCTTAAATTTGACCCATTTTCCTCATTAATTCTTTGCCATTAAGTTAATCGACAATTTTTAAGATCTCATTTGATACTTGCAAGAGAGTATTTTAAAGAAGGAGAATGGATTTTCTGATACAAATATTTTGGATTCTACAAGAGGGACATAAACTTCCTGCGTAATGAAATAGTTCAATTAAACATTTTCCACTTCAGTAGCTTGTAGTGATTTCAATCTAAGCAGCCCCACTCTGATCTGTGATTATTTGACTCTTGTTTTCCTTTCATTTTCTAAAGCTCGATTCAGTTTAATCTTTTGTTTACAAAGCTTTTGTTATAAGTCCCTGACTTAGCAGGCTAACAAATGAAGTCCACATATTAATATCTAGAGGGACTTTTCATTTAAATTCAACAAAGACAAAAGCTGCCTGTGTTGTTTATGCACATGACACATATCACAGAAATTTCATTTTGATGTAAAACATTAAAGATAAGTCATGCTTATAATTTTTCCTTTTCTTTGATAGAATATTGTCTTTTTTCCTTTAGTGCAATCTCTGATTTTCAAGGCAAACTTGAAAACACAAATGAAAAATGAAGTCGTAACATTATGACTGATTATTTTATATTCTGTTCCTGTGTGCATCAAGTCTTGACCACCTCTGAGTTTTATTAACACAATAAAACCTTTTAGACATTACCTTTTAATGCTCAGCGTGAACATAAGCAATATCATTAGGTTTCTCTTTTAATTTGTGAGCGTGCCAGCAACTCATATCAGATATTCACTGTCACAATAATTGGAGACAGACTGAAAGATTTTTCAAATGCGGGGCGTTTCACTGAGGGGTTTTTGTTCCTGCGGATTGAGCTCCAGCAGAACAAGTTTTACCTCCAGAAGAACTGGAGCCATCAATATCATTACCCATAGGGCTTTTGCTGCCAGCATTTCAGTCTCTGGATTGATATACGTATTAATGATATCACTGCTTCTTGGCTTTCCATATATGAATGTTGTTATCACCCTCGGTATAAAAGTCAATGTAAATGTGCAGCCATTTCCATCAGGAACCTTACAGAAATAAATTCATGGGAGATTTGTGATGGTCTGCTTAAAATATTGCTATTTTTGAATTTGGGAGGACATTTTAGAAAAAATTGTCGGGAAAGCCTCGGTCCTGCAAAGGCTTAGCTACACATCTGAATTTTTTTACACATACAAGTGAACAGTCATTCTGAATCAACAGATCCATACATGTGCGTAAAGTTAAGCATGCCTTTGGAGGATTGGAGCCTGAGACTTGTTACATCAGATTTTCTTGGTAGGCGAGGAATTTAAAATATTTTCTTTTACTCAGATGGGTTCAGCA